GATTGAGGTTGGTCGCGTGTTAGTGGGCTTAACTGGTTCAAGAGGGTTAATAACAAATACTGCAATCTCCGGAGGAGAAGAAATCAATTGTTACCTTGGGGATATGGAGCCATTAAATGATCAGAGCCAGTGGTGGTATTATGTTCCCCCCTCGTGGGGACTTGGCCTCACCAACGCAACAGGCCCCCTGCAACTCATGCAGCAATGCGACCAACGCCGGGGTTCCAGCCGTCGGTATATAACGACAATTGGCAGTTTACCTGCGGAGGAGCTCCGGTGGTGGTGGGGGAAGTCTGATATATACTTATCCATATTAACCGGCGGGCGAGCGCTCTTCGGATTGGTACATGAGACTGACTATAGCCTAAAGGCCGCCGCGCCTCAAGGCTAGAGAGCACATCTCCAACGGCGTTCCTGTAGAGAAGAGCGATGATTTACCTGCGAGATAAAGATGTGGAGGCTCCGATCTCTTGGTTTCTCCCCCGCATTTCCATGACGTCCTGTACGCCACGGATCTCCATAGGCTTCCCAATTGGTATCTAGAATGTCTGATTCTCCAGTCTGATTGTGTATACAACGCCGCTAGGGAACTCACACGATGCTCCCTAAGCTTGGCAGTGGTCCTTCTATCCAACAGGATCTTAATCCAGACGATGTCATACTCCTGTCCAACACAAGCGTTTCACTGACACCCCCACGCTCATCCAGGCCGAGCTTACGCAGCTTGCCTCTTGACAGGCTCTCCGCTTTAAGCAATCAGATATCGGGGAAAGTTGGCCCGAGATCCTTGTCATTGAAAGCCCAATAGGCCAAACCAACGCTCACAACATATGCTGTACTCCATACCCCATGAGGAGCCATGTCAATCCTGCGGGGTGCATTTCATTTACCCCAGGAAATGGACAAAGTCCGGTGTCTTGGCTACTGCTTTAGAGTTAGGATGCAGCATAATGATGCGTTTGCTCGTGGATGAGTTGCCTCTCAGACACCCATCGGAGCTATAAATACGTCGTGTCTCCTTGTATCTGGAATGCATAGCTCACGCACCTCTCTTAGGCTTTCCCGTGGGCATTGTACTTCTAAACATGAAAATCGACGAAGACGTTTCCAAGGAGCACAGTGCTCACATAGAACATGCCGTAGAAACTACGGTTCCAACCAAGGACGCCCTGCAGGCCTCTACAGATGAGCATGAAGCTACCGTATGGGAGGCCCTGAGACACAACTATAAAGCTGTGTTGTGGTCTGCCGCTATCTCGTTGTCCATCATTATGGAAGGATATGATGTTGGTGAGCATTATCATACATATTGCTATTTCATTGAGTTGCTGGGGCTTTAGTAACGGCGCAATAGCCCTAATTTACCAGTTCTTTACATACCCTGCGTTCCAACAAAAGTTCGGATCATACCGTCCAGAGCAAGGGGACTATATAGTCACTGGACCCTGGCAGGCAGGTCTCAGCAATGGTGCCAACGTCGGTATCGTGATTGGAGGCTTCATGAACGGCTACTTGTCTACAAGATTTGGATATAAGAGAGTCCTTCTGGTGGCCCTCTTCTTTATGAACTGGTTCATTTTCATTCTCTTCTTTGCTCCGTCGGCGCCTGTGCTGCTCGTCGGGCAGATCTTGTGCGGGCTCACTTGGGGCATTTTTGCGACATCGTCGCCAGCCTACGCCTCGGAAGTATGTCCCCTTGCTCTCCGTGGATACTTGACTTGCTACGTGAATCTCTGCTGGGCCATGGGTCAATTTATCGCCTCCGGTGCCCTTTACGGCTTGCTTAAGATCGATAGCGAATGGTCTTACCGTATTGCGTATGCTCTCCAGTGGATCTGGCCTGTTCCTCTCTTCCTCCTTATTATGTTTGCGCCAGAGTCCCCCTGGTGGTTAGCACGAAACAATCGTATGGATGATGCATATAGATCTCTTGCGCGACTCGACACCCGAGGTCGTGAATCACATCAGAGAACCCTAGCGCAGATCATGCATACCCTTGAGCTGGAGTCAAAGTTGGAGTCCGGGTCTAGCTATCTAGACTGTTTCCGAGGCATCGACCGGCGCCGCACCGAAATTGTCTGTGAGAGCTTCGCAGGTCAAGTCCTGTCAGGCTCGGCCTTTGCCTACACTCCCACCTACTTCTTCGTCCAGGCGGGAATCAGCACCGAAAATGCCTACCAGATCTCGGTAGGGGGTACGGCGATTTCCTTTGTCGGGACTGTCATTTCGTGGTTCTTGCTGACCCGGTTTGGTCGACGCCAACTATACGTGACTGGCATTGCCTGTTTGACCTGTTTCTTGTTGATCATCGGAATCACGGCTGCGGCATCTGAGTCCAGCAGCGCGAAATGGGGTCAAGCTGCTTTGTGTTTGGTTTGGCTGTTCACTTATTCCGTCACGCTGGGTCCGGTTACCTACACTATTATCTCTGAGACGTCGTCCATTCATTTGAGAGCGAAGTCAGTTTGCCTATCACGCAACGTCTACAATATCACCAATATCGTTGCCCAAGTCGTCGAACCTTATCTGATCAACCCGACTGAGGCCAATCTGAAGGGCAAGACGGCGTTCGTCTGGGCAGCGACCGCAGCGGTGACCGCCGTCTGGGCGTTCTTCCGACTACCAGAATGCAGAGGCAGAACGTATGACGAGCTGGACGTGATGTTTCATCAGAAAGTGCCTGCCAGGAAGTTCGCTACTTATCAGGTCAACGCGCATGATGCGGATGCACTGAAGGCGAGTCCTGCGGAAGGTGTTGTAGACAGTAGTGGTGACAGAGCTTGAACGAAATGTACCGGCGCTAAAGTAATCTGGACTTAGAATAATGAAATGAAACTTATTCTTTATTCTTATTAATTTATCATATACATAAAAGAAATCAATGATGATCTTTGAGTGATTTGTAGCTTCCAACCAAAATTAACTCCGTCGTCGCCGCCTGCGAGCGGTGAGCCCAGTGACTTCTGCTCATCGCCGGCACTTCCAAAGCTTCAGTTCGCGATTGCCTCATATCTTTCTCATATCCCTCTCCTCCCCGCTTTGGTATAAGCAGAATTTCTTTTCAAATTATATTCGTGTGTGCTACACATCTTCCTTACTGCATCAACCACATTCCATTCAGTCCGCAAGTGACCCTCCCCCGCAATGGAGGTCGCCGGCGTACAACAGCCTTCCGCCTCCAACGGTGACCACGCCATGGATGCGTCAATGGATATCGACATGGACCTCGACCTTGGTCCGTTACCGGAAGCCGAGGCAATCGAAACTGTGAGTATGAATGCATCCAAGTTGCCCGCCGTGTCTCGTCTAACCCTCGTCGCGCGACTCAGGACCCAATGGGCGGAGCAATTCCCTTTCAAGATGGAGCCGTAGATCCCCAGTCGTCAGAAGCCCAGTACGAAAAAGTACACGTCAGAGGTGTCGACGAATTGACGACGGATAATATCAAGCAATTTGCGAACGAGCACTTCACCCTCGAAGCGCCTTCCCGAGTCGAATGGATCGATGACACATCGGCAAATCTCATCTACTCCTCGCCTGAAATCGGTCTCCAGGCTTTGTCGGCCCTTACGCAGGCTAGTGAAGAAGAAGATACGTCTGAGTTACCGGCACTGCGACTCCGATCCGCTAAGCTCCTCTCTTCCCACCCCGATTCCGTACTCCTGGTGAGATCGGCCGTGAAGACCGATCGCAAGAAGCCTCGCGCCCATGAGGCCAGTCGCTTCTACCTTATGCACCCTGAACACGATCCTCGCGAGCGTCTGCGACGGGAGTTTGACGATAGACGACGTCAAGGTGGCGGAGACGATGGGGATTACAGGCGGAGACGGTTCGACGGCCGGGAGCTGCGGCGACGGAGGGATCGTGACGGAGATGAAATTATTAGCGCTAATATGTATGACGATTCGGGGGCAGCTGGCACAGATTATTCCGAGACAGGAAGAGGTCGCGATGAGCGAGGTCGGCGCCGGGACCGGGACCTGGAACTCTTTCCTTCGGATGAAGGACGTCCTTCGGGGCGCCTTCAGAATCGCAGTGCTTCTCCAGGTCGCGATACGTTGATGGAGAGTGGGTATTCGGAGCATGACCGTCGCGAGTCGCGCAGGCACTTCCGGGAGAGATCGCCTCAGATCGATCGTCGGAATAAAGGCAAGGAACTCTTCCCGTCTTCAAAATCTTCCGGTGCCGATGCCGATGCCAACTCGCGAGAGCTATTCCCGAATAAACCAGCCAACAGTTATCTCAAGAAGGAGCTGTTCCCCAGTAAGCACAGCAATCACCGTCGGTCGGATGCCATTGATGCTGCGGACGAAACGGCCGACCTTTTCTCGAAGAGAATCTCAGTCCCTCTTGTGGATGGTTCTCGAGATCAACGACGGAACAAAAACGTCGAGCTTTTCCCAGACTCTGAAGAGAGGGAAGTTAATATCCGTGGAGCCGCTGGCCCAGACCAAGGGTTCTCGATTCGTGGCGCGGCAAATGGTCTCTCGATTAAAGGACGGGGCGCATCGGTTCGCGAGCTCTTCCCATCCAAGTACAAATCCACGCCGGCAAGGAGCTGTTCTCGGATAAGATAGAGGGACGGGGAGGTCCACGACGGAGGGCGGAGGATATGTTCAGCTAAAAAGCTTTTAGAAATTGCACATCGGCGAGAAACGTGAATGTACAATCATTCGGTATAATCGGGAACAAGGGAGTCTTTGAAAATCAGATAGAAAACGGGTCTAATGATGCCATCCAATTTGTGATACCAATGCTTTCCTCTTTTTCTTTTCACTTTCTTGATCTTGTCTACGACCTCTCCATATTTAAAAACCTGCATACTCGCTTTTTACGAACATGTATTATACATTGGCTAGATTCTTGAAAACTCAGTGTGCCGTACATACGGAATGATATGACCCGAACCTTTTTAAGATAAAAACTATGGTTATCGATCCCGATGTTTATCACGACGTCCAACTACATCCCAACTTCAACACCAGGAACAATAAGCCAGAATGCCACCTACGTCTCAGAGCCCTCCGTTGGCGAGTATTTTGGTAGCCCGCTTCTTACGAAGCAACAACTACGCCGAGACTCTTAATGCATTCATCCGTGAAGCGGGATTGCCCGCCGACGCGGGGCAAGTAACAGACAGCAAAGAAGACAACTGGACGATCGAGGGCGTACTCGAGGAGAAGAAAGCCTTCGACCAGACTCTGGGATTCGAACGGTACGGCGAAGAGGAAAAGGATGAGTGGAGCGTTCCTGGTGAGTCACTTTGCGTCTCTCGCCACAGATATATATAAATTCTCCCTCCATAAGTCAAATAACCCAGCCTGGCTAACGTACCACACAGCACCTTCCAACCCCAAGCTCATAGAGACACCAACATCATCAAACATCCTCGCCTGCTCCGTGGATCCATGGAGACACCCCGATAGCACCGAGGACAACAACCCATCTCGTCTCATAGCCACAGGCGCAGACAAACAGCTCCATCTCTTCCAGACAGAAGCCGACAATGCCACCCTCAGCTCACTCCCAAGACTCTCCGAGTCCCCAATCCTCTCATACGCGCCTATCCGCAATGGAGAATACGTCTGTCTAACCAACATGTCGGGCCAGCTGCTTCTACAACGGAACGCGGAGATCCTCGACAAAAGAAAAGACCACGCCAAGTACGCCGTCAAAATAGTCGCATTCGAAGACAACGACTCCGCCACATGGGTAGCCACAGCCGGCTGGGACTCCAAGATCAATATCTACCGTCTCGATCTCGCCAACGAAGCGATCGGCGAGCCCGTCGCATGCATCACTCTAGCCTCCAACCCGGAGTCGTTGCTCTTCGTCCAACACCCCGATACCAAGGAACTGCTTCTGCTGGTCGCCCGCCGCGACTCCACCCATCTGTACTACTACCAGGTCCAACGACAGCCGCCGTACGAATGCACCCTCCGTGGCAAACAGAATCTGGCGCCCCATTCCAACGCCTGGATCGCCTTCTCCCCGTCCTGTCTCGCCCTCAGCCCCCATGACCCGGGCCTCTTGGCTATCGCTACCTCTACTTTGCCGCATATGAAGGTTATCATTGTGCGGCTTCTGTTCCCGGCTACAGGGAGCTTAGATGAGAGCGCGGAGCCGGAGACACAAGCTACGCAGGCTCTCGCGGCGCTGTCGCTTCAGAACCGCGAGGACGCTGCCATTGTGATCCAGCTAATACGTTTGCGCCGCAGACGGCGTATTCGACGCCGCAGGTTGCTTGGAGACCGGATGGGTCGGGGGTCTGGGTTAATGGGGATGATGGGGTGATTCGGGGGCTGGAGGCTAGGACGGGGAAGGTGGTTACGGTGTTGAAGGATGGGCATGTGGCTGGGTCTAAGATTCGGACGATCTGGGCGGGTTGGGTGGATGTTTTGAGGGATGGGGAGATTGTGAGGGAGGAGTGGTTGGTTAGTGGGGGGTTTGATAAGAGGTTGATTGTCTGGAAGGCTTGATCGTATCACTTTGTAGTTGTGCTGGTTACTTGAGCTTGCGTGGAGATGCATGGGTCGTGTATTATATCTGACTGTCAACGTCATTGGGAGCAGATAAGGGAGAAACAGTTATGACAACATAAATGAATTGATGTAGTATGAATTGATTGCTATTCTGGTCTACGGATGTAGCCCTCCGTCCATGCACCCTCTCGCCACAGAGTTCAGGCAGAAGGTGTTTGGTAATTGGAGGGCATGGAATCTTCTCTCGGCACGTTGAAAAAATCCTTCAGCAAGCGCGCATGAAAATAAGCACGAAGCTGTACACACATATGCCTGTTCATACGAACATTGAAAGCCCATCATCGGGGCTGCGGAACTGCACAACCTACTGACCAAAACACACAGGAAAAACGGAAACAAGTGTCAGGCCATGTCGTGGAATCGAATCATATTGTCTTATTTAGCAACCGTTGCGCGGAACCAGCCAGAGGGTCTATCCGACAGGACGCCTGGGATCATGGCACGTGTGAAACACCAACTCAATGCGCTCCCATTTTTAATTCATTTCTAAATTAAGTTGATTTATGCGATCTCACGCTTGCCCTCCTTGCGCTCCTTCTGTAGCAGTTGTTAGTCGGTCTTTTTTCAAGTGTTTGGCGAGTGGTCGAAGTGCGTAGGTGTGGAGAGGGGAGATGGTCAACGTACAAGAGCCTTCATGGTTCCGTGAAGAGCGTGACGGTGGTTGCGGCGGAACTTGGGGTCAACACCCTTGAGGGAGGGGTAACGGTGAGTCTTAGGCTTCTTGATACTGTTGCGAGTCAAGTATGTCAGCGGCCTGCTCCTCATCGTTTCATTCCGTAGTATCCATCTCGGAGGGGCGTTGGCTGAACATGTTGCATTGCTGGATCTGATCTCGATCATCCCGAGTTCGCTGTCGAAATAAACCGCCCACCACACCCAACAATACAACATATCGCCGCAATCCCCCTCCGGTCGAAAGATGCCGTGCTTCAGGAAGGATAAGGATCGAATGGTACGCACCCGTTACGGTGAGCCTTCTGGCTGTTGTGGTGCTGAGAGGCGTTCTTAGACTCTGTCAAAGGGAAGACGTCAGCTATTCCGAACGACGAAGTCCAAAGATCCCGTCATTTTGGGAAATGATGCCAGGACCAAAATCTCCATATTCATTCAGGAGAACCAAGGGATCACCACATACTGGCCATCTTGTCGGATTTGTCGCAACTGGGAGACGGTTGACGATGAGTTGGCGAGTGAGGTTACCCTGAACTGAAGCAGAAGGCGCAGAGACTCTCTCCGCCTTTAGGGCTCCCGTTTGTGGGATTTCGCTTACCGTCCGCGGCTTAGCGCCTTTGGTGCCTTACGTCCTTAGGTATGAGCCTACCGTTTATTATACACAATTACTATTCCTCGGATTATAGACAGACTCTGAAGTATATATACTATGAGGTCATTTAACAACATCCAATTTATATTTTTTACGATAGAGACATTATTATACTGTGCAAAACAATCCAAAGATGGGGTCCTCCATAGGTATATCGGTATTCACCATCGGCCCGTGACCGGATGACTAACGAAATGCCATGCCAACTCTATTTGTTCACGTGATATCAAACTATGGTGGTTAGTTCAACATTCATATTGCCGGTCAAGACCCATGCAATATCAGAGCAATGATTGTTTGAAGGTACGTTAGCTGAAACACCCGTAATTTCGGAGGTCAATACTGTTATGGTCTGCATTGAGTTGACTCTCAGGTTCCTCATTTAGAGTAAGACTGTATGGATTGCAATCCTGCGGCTGCACATAACATACATCATACAGAAAATAAAGGAAAATCCAGGAAAGAAAGACCCAGAGCCGAGGGACAGTAATCCATGTAGCCGATATTGTCGGATTGATGTAGTAGTTGTAGTAGAGAAGACTGCAAGACTTTTGCTGGGGATTCGGAATGTCCGCCACGTGACCGGGCAAGAGCCGCTAGGGAACAACCGGCATCCGACTTCGACCTTTGCAACTCAAACACAGGTCCAAGAGGGATACCATCACCGTCGTCTCCTCCCCATCCATTGCAAGATGAGCTCTCTCCGCTTCGCTCGCTCTGCCCTCCGGGCCCGTCCCTCTGCCTTCCGCGTTCCTCTCCAGCGCAGAGGTTACGCCGAGGCCGTGAACGACAAGATCAAGCTTTCCCTGGTCCTTCCTCACCAGGTACGCCCGACCCCGAGGTTCCCTCCTTGTACACGTATATGTTGCCTTAACTAATCAATTTCCTACTTCATAGACCATCTTCAAGTCGACCGGCGTGTACGTTTGTTCCGAATCCCGCCCTACCGAGAGTTGAGGGTCGGCCCTGCCTCGTTCGCAGCTGTACTTACGATCTTTTTCATGTAGTGTCCAGGTCAACATTCCCGCCGAGTCCGGAGAGATGGGTGTTCTCGCCAACCACGTCCCCTCCATTGAGCAGCTCAAGCCCGGTCTTGTTGAGGTCGTTGAGGAGGGTGGTGCTTCCAAGAAGTTCTTCCGTACGTCCGACGACCCATGTTGACGCCGCGCCCCGAGCCAGGACTGGTCGATGCGGGCTACATCAATGCAATATATTGAACAACGCTGACATGCATAACTCGTGCTGCTACAGTCTCCGGTGGATTCGCCGTTGTCCAGCCCGACTCCCAGTTGAGCATCAACGCTGTTGAGGGTTTCCCTCTTGAGGATTTCAGCTCCGACGTACGTCCCGAATCTCGACGTGTATCCTGAGATACGTACTAACGAACGCTTTTCACCACAGGCTGTCAAGAACCAGATCGCCGAGGCCCAGAAGATCACCAGCGGCAGCGGCAGCGAGCAGGATATCGCTGAGGCTAAGATTGAGCTCGAGGTGAGTAGAACCCATGTCCCCTTGTGGAAACAAAATGAGCGGGCAACTAATGTTTTCTAAAGGTGCTTGAGACCCTCCAGGCTCACCTCAAATAAATTACCTGATGTACATATCCACTCGCGATTCCAACCTTGAACGTGTAGAACTATAACCAATTATTATTCTTTATTGACCTCCTAAACACGTGCTTCCATATCATCCTTACTATTGTGTTGCCTGTTGTGAAGCGTGTTCTCGTGACTCTTGCGCTTTATAGTACACACGCTTTTCTCCTTGGCTTTTGCCCTATTAACCATAGCTATACAATATTCAACCAAAGCACTCGTTATTACTCTATAGTCATTCACTGACCATATTGCCCTTCAGTGAGTAGCATACATTAGCATAGATCATGTTGGATTCAACATAGATACGGCCATATAAGGATGATTCCAGCTTAGGCGACGGCACGACTACCTGAATTTATCTCATTTGCCCTGAGCGATAATCTTGTGGTTTCGTTTGTATCAATCCTTGGGTTAGGGTCATGTTTAAGGAAATGGTCCAGGTCAGATATCACACGCACAATACCGCTATTACTTTTACAAATTTTCTATCAAATCCGCGAAGTGTGTATACAACTACGGTAGCTTTGAAAGCACAGAATGCACGAAATGAACCCATTAGAATTTTAAGGTCAAATGCGAAGGCGAAATCAGAACAACAGATCATGAAAGGGCAAAAAACAAAGCAAATAGTAGACGGATGAAAGAAGCCACAAAGATGAATAGAAGTGAAACGCCATATACATAATCGACATATCCCTCCCATCCAGAACCCATACCCATATCCATATCCATTTCCTCGTCCCGTATTTGAGGTATGTACGTACATTTTCGGCGTAGGTTTGCCTGTCCATGATTTTGTATTGCTGTTCAGGGCCCTTTCGGGTATCATAAGCAGTGAAGAGCGTTTTATCAGCTCTTCTGAGTTGTGGTACCTAGGGCTAAAAAAGGGACTAGACAGGATCAACGTTTGTATGCATCATTAAGTTGCCATTTCATCGTGTCGATATCAAGGGGTAAATCGTAATAACATGAAGAACAAAAGGGGGGAAAGCGCAACGGGAGCGAAATATACGACATCGAAATCAACAAAACATCTATACATGTGAAAAGAGGTTCAGAGGGGAAGTACCCGCCGAAGACATCCGTCAAGTGAAATCCACGCTGTGTTGTCGTTCTTGTCGGGCGCGAGCTCGTTCCGCTCGTCTTCGTCGCCGATTGCTTGCGTAGTCTCCGCTTGCTTCTGTACCGGTATATGTACCAGGGGATGTGACGCTCCCTGGGCCATACGGCAGACTGGAAGGTACATGTGGCGGGGGAGGGGGAGCCATATGGCTCATGTTCTGGGGCGGGGGGATAGGTGGTGGAGGTACGCTTCCAGATGGGGCTGTGGACATTCCAGCGGCGGCAGCAGCAGCGGCAGCTCCTGTTCTCGTAGCATTCTTTCGTGCTGTTGACGCTCTAATTCTTCAACGCGGCGCCACCGGTCGTGGTTACCTTCGTTGCCTGACAGGGAGCTTGCGCTTCCGGCGCGACGACGAGAATTTCTCCGTTCCCTACGTCTTGCTTCGCGACTTGCGGCTGCCTCTTCCTCCGTTAACCTTCTGAGTGTGACATGCCGACCATCGTTGTGCATTTTGACTTTCACCGATACTGGTGGGGAGCTCGTGTGATCATCTCTGTGTCTACTACTGCTCCGGTGCCTGCTGCTGCTTCGGCGGCGATGGCTGGAGGCAGCACCCAGGGCACTTCCAGCGGCGGCTCCCGCCCCAATATCAGAGGGATCAAGTCGAGAGGGAGCATGACCTGGCATTTCCGAGGTAGGTGCACCTGGGGGTAAATCGGAATGATGCCCATCGATTGCTCCAGACATGGCCGGGTCACCAGATAAAGCTGATTCTCCGTGTTGAGGTCCCCGCGGAGGTCGTGTCAACTCAGTGGAGGAGATGTCAGTCGCGGTGAAGGAGTCGGTTCGTCTGCGAGGCGGGTACCCATCCCCAGTATAGCGTCGTTTGCTGTCTGCTCGGGCAAGCCTTTCCTCCTCCATCTCTCGACGGCGCATATCTTCTACACGACGATCATCATCATTTGCCTTGCGACGAGTAAACATGTTTTTGAGGGCCGCAAAGGCGCCCGCACCAAACAGGGCATTTCGAGCTTTGTTAGGTCGGTCATGGTCGTTATCGGAAAAGTAAGTTGTATTGTAGTAGTATGATGACCCGGGACTTTGAGGTCTACTCGGGGGTCGGCTCGGTGGGCGATTGAGAGGGGTTCTGTGACTTGGTTCGGGTCGTCGTCCATCTTCCATCCTACTCATCGTGGTCTCCGTCATGCTGTCACTTCGGTTATGGGCGCGCCGATACCGGCCAGATTCGGCATCATTATCTCGGTTTTGTCTCCTGTCGAAGAACTTCTTAGCGAGGAAAGCGCCACCGCCCACCGCACCAAGTTTAAGCAGTTTACCGCCCCAGCCTTTGCGCTGAGCTCCTTCATCTGAGTACTTTTCCGACATATAAGACGTATGAGAGTCCTCATAACCATCTCTTCCCCTACTCTGAGAGCGACGCTTGAAGAGTGAAGCTAGTCCTGCTCCTGCGGCTCCCGCGGCCGCCATTCGCCCGAAACTGCTCTGGCGATGACCAGCAGGGCCGGGGGCCGGGGGTCCAGAGACATAGCTATGTCGACTGTCAAGGTCGGGTCCCGGTGGGTAGCCCTCATCATCATATAGGTACGACAGGACGAAAAACGTAACCAAGAGGGCAAAGGCAGCGACAGAATATAATATGAACAACGACTTTGGTGAACCATAAAGGGTGAGTCCTAAGGGGATCTGAATGAGTCCGAGGATGGCAAGAGCCCGGCCAATCCACCGGTGGATCTGAAAATATGAAGTTAGCTTTCGAGGTGAGCGTGGGGGGTGTAGCATTCTTCGTAACTTACCACTAATTTCAAGGGCACTCGATATCTTTGCCGCTTGCTTTCTACTTTGTGGAGAAACCAGCCCCACAGGATCTGAAAGACAACCATAACATAGATTGCCAGTCCAATCCCGTGGTGAGGGTTTGTGAGACTCCTCTCCGGCCCAACTGCAAACCATCCGCAGACGAACACTACTGTGCTTAGCAGTAGAGTTAGGACTTGGAACCAGGCATGCAACTTGAAAGCCACAAACGGATTCCATCGAGAGTAGTATCGAATGATTAATATTGATATCGGAACAAGACCCAGGAATACGATTGTCCCAATCACCCCATGTACGACTATTAGGGTATGATAGTAGGGCATATCCTTGAATCGGTTTCCCATGCCTGACACCAAAGTAAGAACGAGAGCTACCAAGGTCGGAGATTCCACATACCATTGTATCGCATTGTATCAAAATTGACCCCCATCAAGTTGGGCAAGAGGAATGTATCGCGCCCTGCATCCCATGTCCCGTCGCCAACATGTAGAGTATCCGAGGCATACGAACTGCTCCCAGGAGCCGTGAGATCCGAGTTACCAGTCATGGTTGGCTGTGATTTTGTGTATTCCGACTATATGTAAATATGCTGTCTCAAATGGCGATCTTGCGACACTGGAATGCCGGAATAGATTCCCGAAGGAGATCTAATAGATCCCCCACACCAGAGAATGCACCATGCGCCAGTAAGAGATGCTGATGTGAGCACGATACGTCAGTGACCAGATGAATTGTCGAGAATGATCGCAAGAGCACGATAGATCGAAGAGGTTGGTTCGGCCGAAACTGATGATCGGATGTTTACCACCGTACGCGCTTCAGGATGGAGATGTAGATTGTCAGACGAAGGAAAGGCGGGGAACAGTAGGTGAGGAAGGATGAGAAGTTGAAGAACCGGGCCAAACAGCGATGAATCCTGAACAATGAGATTCAAGTCCAAAATCAAATCAATTGACCAAGCAGGGGTACCATACCAACCGCCGTTTCGATCTTGTCTGCCACAGTAGGGAGATTGGAGGCTGGAATGTAGATGCATTGGGATTCTTCCAGCTCCGATCAACTGTTTTCCGTTTTGGGTTTAGCGGGCCAGCGCATATCCCGGACAACCAGCCGCTGACTCAGCCATCCTCAGTCATCCTCAGCCGCGGACCGCCTGCCGTTCTGGGCCGTATCGCGTGCCGTGCCGGTTCCTTCGTATCTTATCAGTCGCTCGCAATCGATGACGACTCCCTCCAGTCGGATTGTCGTTTCTCCTCTTTCTGCAAGCCTACAAGAAAACGTCCGGTGAAGCCTTCATATCCGGACTCTTCAATGAGTCGACGGAAAGATCCGAAACAAGGGGAAACATCGCTGAACCACGAGTATCTGGCCCACTGGATTGATAAGCGACGACAAAGTCGTGATAGCTCACATCCCCGATATCGCCGAGGCAAGGAGGTTCTGATCCTCTGGATTCCGGTCGCTTGGCGAAGTGAATTCTAGCTTTTGTCTCTCCTCTCGTTTATTCTACAAACTCCCAGCGTATCCAGATCACTCGATTCCGGGATCATGTCGCCCCAACTAGAGATCTTCATCAAGGCCCTTTCCCGGTATGTACTGCGGACATCGGCTACAGCCTTGGCGCGAGAAATAGCCCCGCTCTTCCTGAGTCAGTAACACTGATACATTCTATGGTACAGCCTCTTAGGATGGATATAGTACGTCTTCACTTTGTGTTAACTTTCGCTCTACTTTCTGAAATGGCTGGACGACGTATTGAACGCACCGGGGACTGACCCGTGCAGCACGTTATGTTGGTCCGCGTCCTTTTATCCTCAGCCGATCACCAACTTTCGGCGCCGGTCGACAGTTGGCTTAGCCATTGATTTCCCCACCGTCAATACTTTGGGATATGTGTGCTACACTGGCTATACGGCCGCCTTCCTCTACTCTCCCGTGATTCGTCACCAATACGCCGCTCGTCATCCCGGGTCCGAAGGGTCTACCGTGCGGTTCAATGACTTTGCTTTTGCGGTGCACGCTATCATCCTCAGTGCCTTAACTTATACGCAATTTTGGCCCGCGGTCTGGGGATTTAAGGTTTCCCGCTTCCAACGCGTTAGTAAGCCAGTCGCAGGGCTGTTCTGGGGATCTATCGCGGCCGTCGCTATTTTAATCTTTATCGTCCTTGGTCAAAGCCCCGATGGGGGCTATGATCCATCCGGCTGGGGATGGATCGACGTCGTAAGCCACCAACGGGTTCGATGTACCTGCGTATTACTAACATGCCACACTGTCTATTTTAGGTATACGGTCTCTCCTACGTAAAACTACTGGTCACCATTACCAAGTATGTGCCGCAGGCTTGGGTAAACTATAAACGCAAATCCACCCACGGTTGGCATATCGGACAAATCCTACTGGATTTAGCGGGCGGGATCTTGTCCTTGATCCAGCTGTTTCTCGACTCGAGCTTCCTGGATGATTGGAGCGGCATCACGGGCAACCCGATCAAGTTCCTGCTGTCGAACGTCTCGATCCTTTTTGATATCCTCTTCATGGTGCAACATTACATTCTCTACCGGGGCGCGGACGATCCAATCACCAAGCATCAGGACCCCGACGTTACCACCCCTCTGTTGAGCGAGTCCAACGGCGCACCGAGGACGGAAGATGTGTGAAAGGGCTGGGGAGAGATGGCGATGCAGTTGTGTCGTATTGGAGAGGAGGATGATATAGATTCTTTTCCGGGTTTTGCATTGGTTCATAGACTGTTGTTATTTTGGGTTTGCCACTTAACGGCGAGAGTGTCATCTTAAACTATGATTAGATCCACGGACTACCTTAAGTCTCAGGCGAAGGCTCTAAATGTGATCGAAGTAAAGACTGTGTGGGGCACAGCATTGCTGTTCGAGTGAGATGTCAGCTGAAACGTTCGGAGTCGACTGGACCCGATCTGTCTCAGAGTAGTTTGTTGTTGTTGGCCTGTATAGAAGACGATGCGACGAAGAAGCGACAGGACGACGTACGAGTCATCGTCCACCGATGAAGTACCGTGACACCGCTCTTTTTGCAGCTGCGGTGGCGCATCGTTTGCTGAACCGTCCAATGGTGGTGGTGATGGCGCGTCTCCACATGGGGTTATCGACCAATCCACGGCGGGGATCTATGCATATCTGTTGGAACCGCTGCAAGAACGGTGGGAATGAGGCTTATCCGCTACGACCCGAGGAGCGGTGGGAAGCACCAAATTCGGTCATTGGGAATTGGCGCTGAAACGGTGAAACTTTGACGCCCAGTCTGACGGATGCCAATGGGCATTCCCCCGTAGAACACCACTGGTACAACCACCACAAGATCGTCCGGTCGTCCATGGGAGGTGAAGACAAGAGTCGGAGATCCCGGTCTGGGTCCAGGATAAATCCGGAGGGGCTGAGGCTCTGACTTCTCTTCGCGTGTAGAGAGCCATGGATGGACTCCCAGGGTACCCCCGAACACGGGATGACTTATGCAGGTCTCTCTGCACGCATTCCAGCAAGTTCACAGCCCACATCCATGACCTCGAATGAGATCTCCTAATCCAGTCAAGTCGCCAGGGCCATAACCGTGGTCTGGGCGGGAGTCTGTTCAGCCCTACCAGGGAAAAGCCAAAGAGGCAAGTGGGAACAATTTCACTGCAGTTGCCAAAGACCACTAGCGGTCGGCATGTCTGTCGATCTCTTAACTTGTCTATCCGAGCGAGCAAATCAGAGCACACCTGCGACCCTGTCAGCCAGGTCACTGCCCGTCTTGATTGGCAATCCACTGGAATGAGCTGCTAAGAATACCTAGTAAATGTGAAAGTTTGTCGTGGGTTTACTCGACTTGTATCTCCGGGCGTCCTCGGACTGGCCCCAGATCATCACCAAACCGATCGAGAAGGAGTCCACACCTCCCCGCTCGTCCACATCATGTCTCTGATCCTCTTCCCTCGACATTCCCCTTCCTCATTCGTTCGCAGTATATGACCCAAGTCTAAGTTTAGTGTCCTGAGGCGGTTCAGCATGTCTCTGCATTTTTTTTGGGTTTTTTGGGACGTCCTTCCGGCACGTGGACTCCAACCAACAATGCGGAAATGGAGAAAGAAACCACTGTCCACTGTCCATAGTCCTTAGTCCCTCCTGGCGATCACCCAAAGTCCACCGCGAAATGCAATGGAGGTACCTCACAGCCTTCCGAGACACATCTCTGGTCCAAAGTCACTTGCAGACACGAACTTACCACTCATCACCACTCATCCTCACTCATCTAGACCCCCTCCAACTGTCAGCTCGCGAAACCACTGCATAGCCACCACGTCTTACTTCCCAAACGGCCTTCCCTACAACGTGGGGCCCCTGTTGATGTCACCAGCTGATATTATATATTTCTTCATCTATCGGATCGGGTAATAGACGTTGCAATTAGTGATCGCTCTTCGTTCTTCTTTCCTTCCATTCTTTTATATCATCCGTGCTTGCCATCCTTCTCCCCTGGCCTTTTTTTTATCTTTGGATAATCTACATCGGATCTTGAATTGAACTGAACTGTGATCATATCTATACCTACTTCTATACGTACATACATACATACATACATACACACACAGACACAGAGACACTCCGAGTGACTAGAACAAGAACTAGACCTTCATCCAAGTGTCCCAGCCAATTCCTCCAATTCTATGGGCACCATGGACCCATCCACCGGCTTCGATCTACCAGCGGGAGACTACCCAGCTATAGACATCCAAGCCGGGCTCGGCATCTCCATACTCCCCTCCAAACGCCAACCATACACCCCAGAGCCATGCGCCTGTCCCCCATACCCACCCCAACCGCACCTCTACACCCCACCAACCCTGCAACACTACGCCCTCCCAGACATGACCGACATGGCCGACCTGATCCCCTACACAATGGAACGGGTGCATTTGCGCGAGCCCCCGGAGCTGGAGAACAACATGTTCTACACCCCATTCCGCGCGCGGGGGACTTCTCCTCCTCCTCATCCTCCTCGTCCTCCACATCCACCGCCTCCTCGATACACTACCCGACATGCGACTCCTTCGACAACAACACTCTGCACCCAGACTACTACCAAGGAGGCGCCTCAGAATACTTACACACACCATCTTCCGTATCATCCCCCTACTACCCCCCCCGACACCACCACCAGCAGTAACACACCGACATACCCACCACCCCACCCCAGCCCGACATCCGCAACAGCAGCCGTGGTGTCCGCATCTGCAGGCCCACCACCCCCGGCAGCCACGCAAAAGGACCTGACGCACTACGGCATCCAAACCGCCGACCAGACCTGGCGGTGCGCGTACCCGGGCTGCACGTCGCAGACGCTCTTCCGGCGCGGCTGCGACCTCCGGAAACATTTCAACCGCCACCGCAAGCACCTGTTCTGTCGGCATCGGGGGTGTCCGCAGGCCGTGGCCGGCGGGTTCTCGAGTAAGAAGGATCGGGATCGCCATGAGGCGAAGCATAATCCGGTCGTGTGTTGTGAGTGGGCTGGGTGTGAGAGGGTGTTTAGTCGCGTGGATAATATGAAGGATCATGTTCGGAGGATTCATCGCAGGAGGGAATGATCTTTGTTTTTCTTTTTTTTCTTTTGACTTGGTTTGGTTTGGTTTGGCTTTTCTCTTCTTGTGTGATTTGTTGTGGCTTATCTTGGGTTTAATCATGGGTTTGGGTTATGGGGGCTGGATAAAGGGCAGGATCAACCTGTACTGTATTATTAGAAGATTTCCCTTTCCTTTTTTTCTTTTTTTCTTTTCTTTTTTTTTCCCAGTCGATGAAACATGTATTTCTGTCAACTAGTTCAGCTGGCTATCACTTTTGACTCCTAGAATAAAGATCGGAGTCGCATGACTGGCTTCCCGCGAAAAGACGCCGCTACTTCCCTAGACGGACTCGTAAGAAAAAAAAAAAAAAGATCCATCTCTGAAACAGAAAATGAAGCACAGTGGATTTTGGAAGAGAAAAAAAGATATAGAATAAAGAAAAACCTTCACTAGACGCCCAACCGCGGATCCTGATTCCTGTACAATCCCACGCTTCATAAAACGTAGCGTATATCCGGACATGAAACGAATGACAAACGATAAATGTGGCTCGTAACTCTAGACATCTGGTATCTCGAACAAGTAAACAACGGACAACACAAAAAGAGAATGGTATGAGAAATATGGCAGAGATTCATAATGCATGCACAGTGTACATCAAAAAGGTGGGGGGGGGGGAGGGGGTGAAGAAGGCAAAACATCGTGAAGATGACCGCGTCATTCTCGATAATAGTGAGAAAGCCATCTTCTCACAGGCAGAAGTCGATACGTATGATGCGCATTTCATAGAAATAGTGAATCAAGCGTTGATCCGACGGCGGCGCCCTCGCGCGCTGCCTTCTGGTCTTTGCGACAGGACCAGCCGGAGCTGGGGGTCATCCTTGCTTTTGTCCACATGGTGGACCCGCACGTGTCTGATTCCGTTAGCATCTGCACCACCGTTGCACACGCCAAACTAGGGGAAGCTTACCGCTGGAGGTTGTCCGGTCGTGGGTATTTATGTTGTTGGTCGGGACAGAACGGGCACACATACCCAGGGGAATTGTGAACCAGGCCATGTCGGATCATCTCATTTTTGCGCTTGAACCCTTTCCCGCCGATTCCACGAGGACAGCCCTCAATGGGACAGAAATGGGGTCGGTCTTGCGAGTGGACATTCGCGTGAGAACTGTTCCGGATCAGCTTGAGCTCTGAAAACACCCAACAGAGGACTAGACTCATGTATGAGGGCGTGACCTACTTTAATAGGTACTGAGTTTGGAAAGGCGGAGCGGTGCACCCCGGATACCGACATTTGTAGGCTCCCGAGGTGACAACTCCATTGTGTTGCGGACTTGGGTTGTATGGTGTCCGCTCACCCGTCCCCGCCGGAGTTTGATCTGTGGGTGTTGGATAGCTCGTGGCAGGGCTTTTCGCGTCACAATGGGCGATGTCATAGGTGGATGTGATATAAGGTATGTCGGATTTCTGAGACCTCCAGTATGAATTCTGCGTTGCTGGAGACGATACGGCGGACAAATCTTTGGTACTCGCAGGTGACAAATGCGAGTAAGGACTAGGAGGGATCTGGGGAGGTGGAAAATGGCCCGGCCGTTGATGCTCCCAGACAGGTTCACTCCGGAGGCCCGGTGGGGAACTAGCTGTGACGGGTGGTAGAGAATACGGAGAGGAGCCATTGACGCGTGCAGCGGGCTCATTAACATGAGCGATACCACGTAGTGCAGTCTGAATAGGGGGGAGGGTGGTAGTGTTGTCAGGTGAGTGGAACGGGGGCAACACGTCCGGCGACGGATGTAGGGAGATTGCATATTGGCTTAAAGGGGGGCTGAACGGTTTCTTCTCCGTGATACTGGGAAGGGCAGGGGGTGGTGGCTGGGAGGCTTTTGGAGACAGCACTTCCACTTTAACGCCACCGCGCGCGTCCGGAGAAGGAACGTGTGGTTTCACGGGGATCTCTGGAGGCTCCAAGGGTCCATCACTGGGTTTTGGTAGATCTAACAGTGCAAGAGCGCGCTTCGCTGCTTCACTCGCATCTGTCTCTGACTGGGGCTCTCTAGGCTTTGCCGGCTCCACCACGGGGCTCTCTAACTTTGGTTTCTCGGGCTTGACAAGAGGCTTCTCCAGCAGATCATCACAGAGAATGTCACGGAAGTGCTCCGGGCGAAGTGGGTCAGCTCTCTCATAATTGGCAATATCAGGTCGGTTAGGGTCTATATAGCTGATCAGCACCGAGTTGCCCTCGCTTGTTTCGGACTTGTATAGGTTCGATTGAGGCTTACGGGAACAGTCCGGTGTTCCCTCGCCTGGAGAATATTTAAATTCGCCCTCGGGCTCCTTGACCTCCTTGACTATGAAAGGAGGCGTCGGTTCTTTATGGGGCTTATAATCCGGCTTGGTCGCCTCCAGCCCGGGAGAACGACGGTCCTCGTCGGGATCATATGATTCTGTCATGGAGGCGGCGGTTTTTGACGCATCAGGTGCGCCGCACCTTCTATAGTTTACTCTGGCCTTTTGAGACCACCCTTTGCGCTGAACCCGTCAAAACACCGGCTCAGCATCCGACTGCCCGCCCAGTGAATGCACAATAAAGGAAATGAACAGTTGGGGCGCGCTTGGCCAATCGACTGCCCCCAGTTATTCTGTTGCCTGTTAGTTCACATCCAGCAAGATACTCGAAAAAGGATTCAGACTAGAACACTGAGATGAAATGTTGAGCAGGGATCTGATAAGGATGTTGATTATGATTGTAACATGTAAAGACCATAGCAAGCAAAAAGCCCGAGGCAAAAGTAAGAAATAAACGAGGACAAATGGGGAGGGGGCAAAAAAGAAAACAACAACCCAGCTACGGCTGCGGCGACTAATAAGACAAGCAATAACCCACTCCTGAAGACGTTGTGGGATCAATCAACTTCCGATGTCAGAAAAGATGGAGCAGCCATGAGCGCTACCATGTCGGGTGAACCACCTGACATTAGACCAATCACCACGACATCGGTGGTGCGTGCAGAAGACCTCCTAACAGAGCACAGGAATGAGGTGCACGTTGGGGGTGTGGAGTCTTGATTTTTTCACCTTCAGGACGCCGCCGACGTTGCCGCTTTTACCGTGGACAGGGTAGATGGGAGTACATACACAAATTGAAAAGAAAAGGGAAAAAAAAAAGAAAAAAGGAACGGGAGCAAGAACAAAAGATAGATCAGTAGAGATGCAGAATAAGCTCACCTGGTGAAGGAACTTGAGACACGGAGTACACGGCAGAATTCAGGCACCCGCCGGCTTTAAAGATGAGGCTCAATCGGAGACAATTTGCACGTCACAATTGAGGATACGAAGATGATGCGCGGTTTGCATGAGATTGAGAACCGCAAATCGTAAGAGGTTGGTGGGGAGTAGGCGGACCAAATTGTAAGAAGGATAATGAGGATGAGACAATATCCAAGATACGCGACGATCAGAATGGTGATAATCCAGGCGGCACAAGTAGTAGCCGCCGACTTGGAAACAAGTCAAGTGGGGGGCGAAGAGGAAAAACAACAGTGGTTTATGGCCCAGGCATAATACTCTCAGCGGCGGCGCCCGTGTGTGTTGCAGGAGCAATGATTGTCAGATGGACAAGCCAAGAGAAGGGAGATTGACCATAATAATAATAATAATAAGAGCAGGAATGATAATAATGAGCATGGGCAAACCAAGAAAATAGAGCGAATAATAATGATCACAGTAATAGTAATGGCATTAAGAGAGCATTACTATTATAATAAAATTATAATGGTGGTCGAGAAACGGCTGGAAATGAAGCTAATAGTACTGGGAGCGGGAGTGACCGCCTAGCAAAAGGCTGGCTTTTTTAATTCGAAGCGGTCAGCGAGGGTAGAAACCCGGGAAGGTCGTCGCAGGGAATTAAAAAATGAGAAAAGAAAAAAAAAAAAAAGAGAAAAAGAAAAAGAAAAGGGAAATTAGACACAATCAGGATGGTTTCTTAGTTGAGTCAGCTAGAATTCTGCTCATTGAGGAGAAAAGGAATCTGAAGGAGATCCACTACCGGCCGAGCTGGAACCCGGGCCTTTTGGTGGAGACCAAGCGACGAGCGAAACACCAGCAATGCGATGTCAGTCTGTCAACATCTGTCCACTCTCCGGAACCTTTTAGTCTCTCTCTGGGGGAAGGAGAATCCAGACGATCCCCTCTCTGTGCCTGCCTCGGAATTGAATTCCAAGAAATAAATAGTCGAAATAGGTCGAAACAGCCGGAGGGGGACGGCGGGCTGGACGCTGACTCTAGACACGCCAACAGGAAAAAGTGGGGGTGAGCACCAGGGGAGGAAATTCAGAGAAAGATGGACAAGAGGTTAAGCTGCGTACCACTTGAAGAAGAGAAAGTACTGAACGGAATATCAACGATCGTTCTCTCGATCCAATACAATGGAAGATTCAGATCAGATGGGAGAAAAGTAAAATGGAGAATACTCAGAAAGAGGGAATTTGTAAACCTGACCATCTCCGTGCATTTTTCTGTTCTTGATTTTTCCCACTTTAATTCTCTCGGGCTCCTTAGGTACTGGCAATCGCCCTCTCTTCATGGCACGTCCACGAGGCCGAACCAGCCGCAGTTCCACACCGCACTAAACCCAAAATGACCGGAACACACTTTTGAGGCTCTCCGCGAATGCACGGTGATTGGCGGGGACCCGACGGCCAAAACGAGGAGGCTGAACTGTTCTCTGCATCGAACCGCCATGGAACCTTGGGCACTCGCTTGCTGTTCATCTGAAGAGGATTGACGGAGGGGTGAGTCAAGCTGGAAAGCTAGATCGATGACTGACCTCATCGCTGATGTGGCCATTCTTCGCCATGCAGCTACTCGTATCTACTCTGGCTTCTTTTCTCTCATGATTTGTTTTTCTCTTGTCCATGGTATTTTAGTTTTCCTGATCCTTGTGCGTTACTACCGTCTACTATTGCCTTAGTCATCCTCCAAGAGCACAATTTCTCCGATGCGTCTTCCGTCGTAGCCTAAGTTTTGAGGCGACAAGGCTGTTAACTCCCTTGCTGGCTTGACCGCCACGCAACTTTAGCACTACTCCTTCCAGGTTAGTCTCCTGGGTCAACTAGTCATCAACCCTGAATCGACCGGATCAAAGCGTTTTGTGCGTCGGGGGAAAAATAATAATTCAAGAAATAAATAAAATAAAATTAATTAAAAAAAAAAAAATCAGAACCAGGACGAGAACTACCAAGGACAGAGTAAAAAGGGGCATGACCCTCGAGGGTTTCATGCTTAACCTACGAATCCCCGAATCCCCCGTGACCAACACAAAGCCCATTCTCATCGTTTTGAATGTTGGGTTGAGATCTTTTCGGATAATTATTATCAGGTCCCGTCCATGATATTATTCTTGGTTTGTGATTCTTAGTGCCTAGAAAATCCACTAATAGGTAGTGTACGACTTGGTAGCACCCTGCAACTGTAGACTGGGCCCGTTTGATTCTGATTGCGACCAGTCAGGATCCCGATAGGAAATGGGGATGGGCACTGTTGCAGCAAGTTTAGCGTGGTCCTGAAGAATCACGCGTGTTCGGTGTGAGGCTGTACAGAAATATAGTTAGACTGAGGGTCAGAAGCGAAAGAGAGAGGTAGAGAGAAACCCAAGAGCAAAAGGAGGGGGGGGAATTTCGTGCTACGCCTGTCACTCTGCAGGAGATGATCGGACCAGAGATGTAGCCCCACGTTGGACCGGTCTCCACTTGGGATTGCACTACTTCCTGTAGGTTGCCAGTAGGAGTTATTCATGGGCTTGGAGTGACCAGAGAAGTCATTATGCATCGACGGTCCTACGTCGGTGGTGCACAATCAGCCTTTTAGCGATCAAGCGGGCGTAGCTGATTCTCGTCTAGAGGGATTCTAGCGCTAGTATATTAACAAGCCTTAAGCCACGAATACGAATAGCTCCATAAAAGAACGGATCCATCGGGTGAAGTATATCTTCCTAGGGCTATCTGGGTTGGATTGTTGTTATTTTTTCCCTGTGGCTTCTTTCGATCTTTTCGTCCTTTCTCTACCATTGTGATTGCTCCGGATATCAATCATATGGATGGGGTTCCAATCTTGGAACCATTCGCAGATCTAACTTCGCTCTGACTGATTGCAGATCCATCAGCAGGATGCAGGACATGGTCAGGTTTCTCTGTCCAACATTTACCCATGGATGCTCCGCCTGAATGTTGGCAATTGGCCGAGAAGCCAAAAAACCCCTCTTTCAACTTTCCAGCCTCTTGACATTCGACGCTGCCTAGACTCTTTATTTTCTTTTTGCTTTTGGTTTTCCTCTCCCAACGGCCACGATCGAGTCTAGTGGCAAAAAGGTTTAATTCTAAACTCGATCCGAGTCAAACAAACTACGACAATCTGCCATTCCTGTTCCCTCTGCTCGGTAGGTGGGGAATCGATATCTCCCGTATACTCCGTTTTGAACGGACACAGGAATCGGATGCCTGTATTACCGACAAGGTGATAGTCTGACTGGAAAAGGCAAAAGGCAAAAATGGTCTCACTCAATCCCACCGATTGATTTATTTCTCGCAAGCACAAACGCGGCCCGCTCCGGGCCCCATCTTCATCTGAATGGATACAACCAAAAACCTACCAGGGTCACATCCCTTCCCCAACCATCTTAGTTTAATGTGCAAATTAATTTATCAAGCATTCCGGACGCTCATAACATGATCTGTTATTGACATCATATGGATGGTGTGCTTCCGGTAAGCACCGGGTTGATCATTCATCGTTTGTCACCTGTAGGTGAGGCGCTGTTTCGGCCGTTGAACGATGAGTCTGCAGGGATCTCTCGATCGGGGCATTTTTGTCAAGTGGGATGGTATTCAACGGTGTGGGCCAATGAAGGAGATTGATCCTGGTCGCCGCAGAAAGGGGAGGGTCAAACCCCACCGTGATTATGGAGACTGAGGGAATGAGAGGGAGAGACTCCGAGAGAGAGAGAGAGACAGGTAGCCCTCGCTTGGCCGTCAACCCCCCTCTCCCCCATTAAACTATCCGTGAGGACCTGTTGTTGGCCTGTCAAGCTTACTAGTTAGGGTCAACTTGGACTTCCTAGCATGTAGACTGTAGATTGGGTATAGGTATAGGATGTGATGTCGTGATGAAGGTAGTATTTGCCCTATGGTCGGTTTTCTCAGCCCGGAGTTGCCCGATGTTTTTTTGTTTTTTTTGCTTTTCTTTTTCTTACCCGCCTTTTTAACCCTTACATGAGGCAACGAGGAAAACAAAGCACATGAGCCGCACCCAATTATCATGGTCCAAGCGGCTCACTGCTGACATTGCGTTGGTGACCGCCCACTGGACCATCAAATCCCTTGGCGCATATACGAGTCATCTTCCGAATCTCCGATCGTCAAAACAATTCGTCATTGACACCCTCAGGCTTCCAAATGTAAGAATTTCAATTATGTAGAAACCCTGCCAATTACGACGACAATTGCTGGGGCTTACGCTTGCCATCATGGGAAGAACAGACTCTATTCGTCATCTACCTGAGCTTGCATTACTATCCTGCTTGCGTATGGGTTTCGGTATAAATCACAAACTATGAATGAATACTCGACAGGCCGTCATGCACCAATGGGCCACCCCCTCCTCCCCTTTGCTTATCGCATATACGTCGTTGGCCTACACGCCACAGGTCTACGAGCAGGGTCCACATTAGGTTCATTCTAGCCGTCGGAAGAGATTGGACGGGTAGCAGCAAAGCTACAGTTTGCCTTTTTGAAGCATTGTGTTCTGGACGGCCTTGACCCGTTCCCAGGCGGCCAGCGCGAACGGCGTTGTCTTTTTGGCATGTTCGTGCGCTTGGGCACTGCTGGCCTGTCTCAGTGCATAGCGAGCTTTGACTCCTTGAAGGATAATCGAGAGCCTCCAGGCAAAGAAGGCGTCTCCCCAGGGGAGGTCCGGGGTCGGGTCCCATCCGCCCACTTCGCGATACCACCGCACGCAGTCTTCACGTGCGGGTAATCCAGGTATCCGGCCGGGTTGGAACTGGTCGGTCGAGTGGTCGGTGCCATCCAGATAGTACGGACTCGTGAGGTTACAGAAGTCCGATAGGGGATGCCCCACCGTAGCCATCTCCCAGTCCAGGATACCAATGACGCGGGGCTCAGTCTTATGGAAAATCATATTGTCGATCTTGTAATCGCCATGGACTAGCGTGCCGCGATCCTTCGGCTGAGTAGACTTATTCGAGAAGAAGCGCACCGTCTCCATAAAATGCGGAAGTTCCCCCACTGGCTCCTTGGTCTCAACGTCGACCGCCTGAGACTGCGCTTTGGACACCGTCGAGAAGGTGGAGATCTGCCGATCATAGTACCCCGACGGCTTTCCGAATGTTTCCAGACCAACTGACTTGGGGTCGACTCGATGGAATTTAGCCAGGGTCTGCACCGCTGCCTTCCACCTACAGGGTTCTTTTCTTAGTAATCGAGGCCCATCCTCAGATGACGCATGGGGACTAAACATACAATGCGTTTCTTTCCTCAGCACTAACTCCCGGCATGGCAGGATCGGTGAATAGCCGACCGTCCAAGAACTCCATGATATAAAACGGGGTCCCAATCACATTGCTATCTACGCAGAGACAGTAGGCCTTTGGTACGGGGACGTCTGTCTGCTCGAGTGCGTGGATGACCTTATATTCGCGTTCGACCTTATGCGCGGTCTTGGACAGGAGCTTGCCCGGGGGCTTTTTGCGCAGGACGTACTGCCTTCCATCGGTGCCGGTCAGCAGATAAGTTGGATTAGACTGTCCGAACGAGAACTGTGGGGAGTTAGATCGTGCCCATCAGCCATACGTGATTTGGTCCCGCTGTGCTTACCTGTTTCACATCTAAAGGTGTCTGGATCTCAGGTACATTCTGATTGAGATACCGCTCCAGCGACGGGATATCAATTGGTTGGCGCACCGCTCCAGCCATGGCCAACAAGTATAGTAATTAAAAAACAAAACAAATGGGATTGATTTCCGGGGATAGTAATAGTTATCTGCGAACTAGATGCCTAGATCGCAGGGTAGTTAGCGGGATCATTCTGAAGACAGGAGGCCCGGCAATAAATGCAGGAAGATCAATTGTGAATCGTCCAGCCCCATGGCCGCCACGGACCGAGGCTAAACAGCCATACGACCTCATTGGCATTTGCGGGGCGTTCGGCAACCTCCACAGCTGCTTGACCCCAAGTGAAAAATTTCGTACCAAGCTCAACTTACACTCTTCTTTTCCACGTTGTGGGGTATTCTATTGGCTAGACCCTGTTTACATACAGTATCTTTCGTCAGAAGCCATACACCCCCAAATTTGTGGCCCTTCCCTAGGTAGTGCCTCCTGATTGCCTAGGCTAATCCAGAGCAATGCAAACCACCCAAACACAATGCCTCCAACGCCAAGCCCATTAAACGCGCTACGCGTCTACACGCGCATCACCAAATCGATGATCCACCATCACACACCGCAACGACAAAACCACCTCCACCACCTCAAAAACCTCCTCACAACCATGACCAAAGAGACCACTCCCCCGCCCGAACAACAAACAGCCACCAGAGAACCCCCCTCTCTCCCGACCTCACCCATCGCCAAGCGCCCCAAGCCCAACACCACCGCCGAAGACCAGTCCAAAATGACCAACAACACCTCCGTCACCTCTATCTCGCAGCCTCTGCCCCCGCTGCTCATCAAGAAGCTGAACGAGGGTGGCCGCGCCCCGACTCGCGGCTCCGCCTTCGCAGCCGGATACGATGTCTATGCTGCTAAGGAGACGGTTATCCCGGCTCGGGGAAAGGCGCTGGTTGATACGGGTATTGCTATTGCTGTGCCAGAGGGGACCTGTACGTTTTTCACTTCTTCTCTATTTCCCATTTACTCTAGGCCCGAGCTTGTATGGACTGTTGTTTCTTGGAAAGGAGACGACTGAATTGAAGAGGGGATGTTCGCTAATGCATGATACCCATATAGACGGCCGCATCGCACCCCGCAGCGGCCTCGCCGCGAAGCACTTCATCGACACCGGTGCTGGAGTCATTGATGCCGACTACCGCGGTGAGGTGAAGGTTCTCCTGTTCAACCACTCCGAGGTCGATTTCCCCGTGAAGGCTGGGGATCGCGTTGCTCAGCTTATTATCGAGCGGGTATGTTTTTCTCTTCTCTTTCTCAATTTTTTTCATTCTACTTCCTTCCATTCGTCACTTTTGGTTTTTGGGTTCATTTGATTTATGTGGGTGTTGTTGTGGCTGACTTGCGGGACAGATCTATACCCCCGAGGTTATGGTTGTGGAGGAGTTGGAGGAGAGTGTGCGTGGTGCGGGTGGCTTTGGAAGCACTGGTACGAACTAATGACGATATGATTGGTTTCGGGATGGGGTGGGTTTCATATACTTGGCGTTGGTTATATAGAAAAGAATTGGATTTTTTTATTACTCTATTATTTTGTATTGGGTTTGAGGAGGCTGTGCTGGGGATTATAGACCGGTATAGAGCATGTGATTTGGTCATCAGACTTTCAAAGCTCATGGATGGTTGCAGTATGTATGCTAAGCCGTACATATTTATCATCTAGTTCTTATCTATCGTACGTTACATAGACAGCACGGTGGTCTATTGGCTCCCCGCCGGTAAATCTTCCTTCCTCCACTCCTGCGCCTGGAACACCACCGTCGGCTCACGCAGGTACTGCACGTTCCTCACCAATCTCACCTCAGCCGCTTTACTCTTCCGCAGGTGCTCCCGCTTCAGCCTCTCCTCTTCACTAAGCGTCTCATCGCCCCGGGTATCAGCCGCCCGGAGCTCCGCATCGCGCGCCTCCATCGTCTTCTCGAGCACGCTGTGCATGCTCGCCAGAACCTGGACGGTCGCTCGCGCAGAGGGAGATCCGTGGCCTTGACCTCGTCGGGGGACACCCAGGACTTTGTCGTCCGGAGCTGGGGGTCCGCGGCGAAGACGGCTTCCCGGAGGCGGGCGACGATGAGCGCAGCGAACATGTCACCTGTGCCGCTGAAGTAGCAGTCCAGGGCTGGGACGTCGATGCGGAAGAGACGCGGGGACCGTCGGAGCGGGTTGTTGAGCCGATGACGGTCAGGCTGTCTGGTGGGGTGGTGGTCTGCGATGAGGGTGATTGGGTGAACCTGGACAGGTCGACGGAAGTGATGATTATGTGGGGGACGTTGTAGGTGGCGTGGATGGCGGTGATGGCTTCGGCTAGCGTGCTGAGGGAGGTGATTTTGATTCCGGATAGGGTTCTACGAGGCATGAGTCACATTTTTTGAGACAACAGGGCTAGTGGTTTGACTCACTCGGCCTCGAACTGATTGGGGAGAATCAGGTCCGCGTGGTGGATGATCGTCTTATAGGCCGGCACCACGTCATTGCTAACGTATAGGCGGCCCTGGTCGCCCATTACCGGGTCCAGGACTATGGGCCGTTAGTGAGGACGCTAGATGTGCACCGTGGATCATGCTTACCCCAGAAGAAAGAGCCGGGGTTCTTTTCAGCCTTGCGCTGCAGGTCCATGCCGATGGCTCCTACAGCCTCGACGGCTGCGGCGCTGGGCGCATAGCCGGACAGCATGACGTCGAAGTCTGTTAGGTGGCTCTGGCATAGGCCCTCATAGAGTTCAGTAATCTGCTCAGCGGTTGCCCTTGTGCCTTTGAACTGCCTGTAGCCAGTATGGTTGCCTGTTTGGAATATCATCAGTTTCGGGCCTACTAGGTAAGCGTGGGCAATGACTCACTGAAATGGACGGTGTTCAACGCGGCAACATCACAGCCCAGTAGTTGCATGACCAGCGTTGCCATTTTGTTTCCGACATAACTGACCTCTCATGTTAGTAATCGAGTCATGATCTGCCCAAGTAGATGGACCCCGGGGAAGCCATTGGCCCATTGCGGGGTGATCCGGAGAGGGATGGATTTCCAGATCTCAACGACGAGATACTTACCCATAGACAACCTATACATACCAGATTAATCAAGCTGACCTTATATGGGGATCATGACCGCATTTGACAAAATGACTTACATGGCTTGCAATGGCAAGGACCCGGGTCTCGGGGACTAGAGAGACTGTGGACATGATGGAAGATTGGAGATGAAAGACTCCAAGGGCTCGGTTGAAGTCAGAGAAACGGACCGTCAATAGTAGCCGACAGATTCTCAGGACCAAAGGATTCAACGACAGGAAATCGCCATTCGTAAAGAGCCAGACAGCGTTCCATGTCAATATCCATCAGTTTCTTAGTCAGTCGGATCGAGAAAGTGGGATGCATTCCCCGGGCCTTGATTGGCTGATGCCTCCGGTTGTCGACCTGCATCCGATATGCTTATCGGCCCGATAAGGCCATACTTTCATCTTATATGCCAGTGGAGTCAACTTCCCATCTATATCGCAGTTTACCAGGGCCCTTTTACGTGTGCTAATCTCGATATAGCACGCCAGGATCCACTGCGTTTAGATATATGCGAGATTTCTATACAGAAGGAGCAAGTCATAACGATAAGCTGCCAGCTAGGGCACACATATTATGCCTAATGATCTGTTCTACTTCTTCACTAGCCTTTGGCGCAGAGACGACGTTAGTAGTCTTTAACCTTTCGCTGTCTTTGGAATAGAAGATTTGGCTTCACATGTTCAAGTCACGCTCTCAGTGAGATTCGGTGCTAATCAAGAAAACAGGTTGTGACATCAACCCCGTTGCTATGCCTGGCAATCCTCCACATTTTGCCGTCAGTAGTTCGTGTGCTGAACTAGAGGCGTTGGAGGGGAGCGAGATCTGATAAGCTCACTGATTCAACTTGGTTGGAGCACCGAGAGCCAAGGTGTGGATAATTTCACGTCACTTTTTGGAATTCCGTCAGATCCTGTGTACAGGGCGTGGCGGCCATCCAAGGGCATCTTCAAAAGAAAAAAAATGTAGGGCCCTAGGCTACGATCAACTTTAGTGAAGCAACGCGACATTTGGCCTCCGCTTCACAGGAGATGGTCTGTTCGAGACTATTCCGGAGAAGCATCTGCTGAAGAGGTGCCTTGTTCTTCTGCTTTCGGCTCACTTAATTCAATTGAATGTTGTAGACAGTCCTTCGCTTATGCGTTAGGTTATGGTAGGATCTGGTTTGAACGGTGGGCGGCTTCGAAGGAAGCGGGTGTAGCAGATATTGAAAATGTACTGAAAAGGGGGTATGTCTCTGAGCTCCTTCATTGTGAGGGGAACGGGGTCGATAGCCGTATGTCTTGAATGAAAAGAACTCTGAGCTAGATGGAGAGGTGGGTAGCTGCAGTCATAAGGAGGAAGCTGAAACAAACAGTACCCCTAAGCTCTTTGCTCTTACCTAATCCACGTTTTCCTCTGTTGGGGAACTCCTTTCCTTGGGATGTTCCGCCCCGCTGTGACAACGATGGCCTGTTGTGCAGCGACCTTCGCCGTAGGAAACGAGATGCGTATGGCAATTTCCGTGGAGCGCGGCCACGGGGTTTTCTAATGTGGTCGTATATTTTGTGAAGCTTCAGAAGCTGGATTTTCCGAAGCAAAAAATCGTATCGGTCAGCATAAAATTCGCCGTAACTGTGCCAATCGGAACTGTATATAAACAACCCCATCCAAATACAGTTGAGGGTATCCTAAAACGGACCTCTGGGCCGAATCATCGCAACCGAGTAGCTGGTTGTTTCGCATGCTGCTGTTCCGCGCGATCTGGTATCCGCTCTTCTCCACACTCACTCGGTTGAGTCTCGTGGACTGGTACACCGACCGGCATTCACGGGACCTCGCACGGGATAGCATAGAAGTGTGGATTCACCTCCTGCTGTGGTCTGTTTGATCAACGTGGAGATGGCCATGTAACCGAGCATGGATTGACTCTTGAGTGGGCTAAGCGCTCTGGTTCTCCTAATCGATCGGATACCGGACCGGACCCGACCAAAATTTTGCTCTGCTGCCATGGATGCATTGGGCAACCGCCCAATGGAGGCTCTTTTCTAATTCGAGTTGAATGAGCTGTGGATCACGACAGTTTTGGTCCAGGGGAAACAAAGGAACGACGATGTATAGAGATGCCAATCCGGTGGCTGATAGGACAGGGATGGGAACTGCACCGTGCCCGGAGTGTATTTGGTGGAGAACGGCACAGACGGAGAACGAAATGCGTCCGTGGTTGTGGTTGTTGTCCAAATATGAATGGGTTAGCAACTTGGCACCTCCTGCAAGGATGGCCTTTTTTTTTCTTTTTCCCATGGCACGTCTAGAATCAGGCAAGCAAGGCACAGAACATACCGTGACTTGACTAACCCTGACATGATCCAAGACCACTCAAATAGAAGGAATGGAGGCATTGCGTTATCCTTCTCTGATTTTTGGTTCTCTTTTGACTCTTTTTCTCGATTTCTATTTCTATTTTCGTTTCTTTCTTCTTCCCAATTTTTTCCCCTACTTAATTTTTTTCGTTCCTGTACCTAATGTAAACTTAATAGGGCACGGCGGAGCACCAATGATAAGAGCCGTCAGCTACTAAGAATAAATCCCCGTCTAGTGTCGGGCCCAGAACCATTCTTTTCCAAGGCCTTTATTCTTGTAATTCCCCTTTTCTCCTGGCCGGCACTTTTTACCTGTCAGGTCGCTGTTGTTTTTAATAACCGTAATTAATTATAAGTCTGGGGGGCTGGAGCACGAGTGGATTTTTTACATGATAGTTCTCTCGTTGAACCTCATCTTCTCTACAACACCACTGCCACTGCTTGGCCTTCTCGCTCCCAACCACCAGATGAGTGGCCAGGTACCGTGGTGATCGTTCTTACCATGCTCCTTTCATAAAATTAATCCCACCTTTCGTCTCTCTTTTTTGTTTCTTACCGACACTCCTTTACATGCCCTTTTGTGGCAAGCCATTCGTTTACAACCTCTGCCATCGCAATGAAATTCCGATTGCATGCCACTGTCCGAGCGCCGGAAAGCCGAACTATGCAGATCAGCAACATGCGTCCTCGCCGACGGACTCAAATGCCCAGCCTTCGCCAATTACTACTGACCGTCATTGCGGTCCCATCCGTTGTCGCGTCCGTGATCCCATCCGCCGTCGTCCGGACAGATCTAGATTCCACCACCGCGCTCGACCTCCCCGTTAGCGGAGAGATCGTCACCGACGATCTTCAAGATGTATCTCATTCTCCACTCGAGGAACGTGCGGCATGGGAACCCGTCCAGCTAGACAGCAGCTCTGAAGACGACGCAGCAGCGCACCCGCCCATCCTCCTATCACCCGAAGAGAACGAGCAGACCAACGACAATGCACAACCAGCACTATTCCAAAGATCGACAAGCAGCAGCAGCAGCAGCGATACGCCGACGCCATTCGACAGCAATCTCTCGACGAACTTCACGTCCGAAAGCTGCCCGAAATTCTTCAAGCAGTTCCTGTCGGACTCCAAATTCGCCAAATGCTACCCCATCTCGATGCTCCTGCGGGACTCCAGCTCGTTCTTCCAGACGCTCAAATCCGCGCCGGCCACCTCGCACGTCCTGGACCTGGCCTGCGCCGCCGACATGGACCAGTGCTCGTCCATCATGACCGACCTCGCGTCGCGCATCACCAAATCCGACGCCTGCGGCAAGGACTACGAGCTGGGCAACCCGGTCGTGACAAACGCCTACACCGACATGATCATCTACGAGCCCATGTACCGCGCCTCGTGTCTCAAGAACCCCAGCACAGGCGACTACTGCTTCGTCGACGCCGCCACAAACAGCTCCAACCCCTCCGACTACGACGTCTACTTCATCCCCTACGGCAGCGCAATCACCAACGCCCCTTACCCCACCTGCAACGAATGCGTCCAGGCCTCCATGGACATCTTCGGCGAATGGGCCCAGAAAAGTGGCCAGCCGCTCGCCCGCTCGTATCTCCCCTCGGCCAGGGGGATCAACTCCAAGTGCGGGGTGCACTTTGCGAATGCGAATATCACGGTTGCAGCGGATGGGGAGTCTTCGGCGGCTTCGTGGGCGGTGCGTCGTCCCGATGGGGTTCTAACGGCGTGCGTGGTTGGCGTGAGTATTGTGGCAAGTCTTTGGGGGTTGATTTAGTTAAGTTCCCCCGGGGGTCGCTCCTTATTCGATCTTTTGAGCTGTAGAATTGTATATTTCCTCGTTCTTCTTCGGCTTCGGACTCGCGTTCAGGTCACGGTTATGGGTTATGACAGCGGTTGCTTCTTTCTTTTTATTCCCGCTTGGTTAGATACTATCTCTTTAATGTTTATACCTGTATTTAATCGGTTTCTTACAATCCTTACATATCATTTCCTCAGCCTACATTTGACAGGTGTGCGCAACCGTATGACTTGAAGGTGTAATATTTATGTATCAATATCGACACGAAATCAAACGTAAGACATCAAATATCATCCTAACCCTTCGTCAAGTTCTAATATGTGCCTTGGGGCTCGTCAAGAGGTATATCCAAAACAAACGAAGAAAACATATCCAATAAACGACAAGAAGTAGAGGCTATAGAACTGTCATAATCATAATGTATGTATCCTGGTAGATTTTATGGTATCTTGGGTATAAATGGTCAAGCGAAACGATCCAAAAGAGGCATAGAAGGGACTGGGGAGACAGGGTGAGGCATGATAGCCAACGCGTCTCACCGTAGCCCGTCGCCCATTGCCACCCCAACTAGACTTCGGGGGGCTCCCATTTCCGGACCTGAGATGGGGCTCTGCGAGGCAGCGTCTCGCTCACGCTTTACTCGGAAAAAGGCCAGTTTTGCAAACCGGTTCAGTTGATTCCAAAAGTGTTGGCCAGCAGGGTGTTTGCTGATCCGCTCCAAGAGGTCTACTGTCGCCTCGCGGACCGTCTGATCAGGGTGGAAGAGTCCCATGCTTAGGTAGAAGAGGCCGGCTTGGTTTTCCGGTGTGACCGTTAGGAGCTGGCAAATGCCAGCGTAGTCTTTGACGGCATAAGCAAAGGCGATGTAAATTGCTCCCGCTTCAGGCGAAGATAATTTTAGGGTACGGAGTCGTTCATGGTGGTGATGAAGGTCTGGTTTTATGATCGGTCGCGTAGGATAATATATGGCCGCGATATCTTGGATGAAGGAGTAATACGAGCGTGTTGTTCGCCATCCTTCAATTCGGGAGACCGATGCCATCAGTTCGCGTTGTTTCGATATCTCGTCGGGCCAGACGTGGCCATGTCCTCGGAGTGTCGTAGGGTCCAAGGGGTCCGCCTGAACCCCGCTGGGGCTTTCCGGGGACAGCTCTTCATTGGGGCCGATGATATAGAGATTTGAGGCGCCGTAGACGGTTTCCTCAAAGGCGGAAGCAACGCGTGCGAACTTCAAGATGTAGGCACGCCATTTGGCTCGGATGGCATTTTCACCATAGCGGTTGGTGATGCTGCGCTGAACGTCTTCCATAAATAGATTGTCTCCGGTAGGGTCGGAGTTCAAGTTCGAGGCATGGAGATGGTTCAGTCCTTGCTGCTGAAAATACAAGAGTCCTTCGGTGATCGGTGCCGGCTCAACATGACTACTGATTTTGATTCTGCCCGTAGGGAGATCGCAGAGCACATCCCACCACTCGGGGTGGTTGGCGAACGTGGGATTGGTCACACCGGCAATGAAGCCGGGAACCTTGAGGAGATCATCAATTTTGGTCAAATCAGTGTAAGGGAACGCATGCCTGGTGAATCCACGCAGTATCCCACCGGACGCAAGTGCGCAAGCAGCAAGTACCGCCTCCGCAACCTCTCCCGAAGGGCGATTATGGCCCAGAAACACCACCCGTTTTTGGGTTAACATCGCATTGACCAGAATAATGATGGGATGAGTATAGGGACCGCTGGTGGTAAGGTGAGGGTGGATTGGGAAGGGCTGAGGGGAGGCACTATGAGGGCCTGAGAAGGTTTGGATGAGCTTGATGAGAGAGAAATCTCCCACGACCTCAGGCCAGATCACCGTGGGTACCTTGACCGGAATAGGGATATCATTATAAACGATCCTGGACTCAAACTCATGAGTATCTCGAGGAAGCGTGTACTTGGAGGCCTGCTTTTTGGGCGAAGTCGGTGAGTCCGGGTCGGATGACTCTCCCTCCTCCATAATTCGCTGACGGATCATCTGCTCGAACTTTTCAATAAACATATCCTTGCAGTTGCTAGCCTGCAATATCTGTCGCTCTAAAAGGGACAGCTTGGGGAGTAGAGAAAGGTCCATGGCATTCAAAGCATTGTATAACGAGGCTAGCGTTTCCAGATAAGGGTTCTTGAAATAGTCTTCAAGGGCTAGAAGAAGTAAGGGCTATTGCCACGTTAGTTCACATCATCCGGCGTCTTGTCGGACGGTGGCCTACTTTATAGATATGGAGGAATGAGTGGCGTGTACATATAGCCATCGCTTTTACAACCGCACCTCTGTGATCCGTTTAGTCGTGTTGCGCGCCGAGAAAGGACCAAGAAACATACCTTTTGACTGTATGGTCTTGCTTTGTATTTACAAGATTCAGAACATACATCAATGGTGGTCCCTCGCCACCCTCATCCTCATCATCACTGCTCTCCTCTTCCTTGCCAGACTCATCTTGATCCTCTTCACTGCCGCCGGCCCCGTCGCCCCCATGCGATGCTCTGGACTTCTTTTTCTTCTTCTTTGCCCCCAACGAGTCGTCATCGTCCTGGTCGGCACTGGAGTCCTTGTGCAAGAAAAAGATTGTCCAGTCCTGGCTTCGGACATGAGTTTGATCCGGAAGCATCAGCTCGGCCAGCATGCTTTCGTCCCCGCTGATCGCGGCGGGATACTGATGTTCCATGATGGGGCCCCGGTCAATGTGGAAGGAGGCAACGAGGATGTACTCGACATGGCGCTCTGACGAGTCACGAGGATATTGCGATTTACATTTTCGCTGCCTATAGGCCGGGGGAGCAGCGAGGTTCGGCTCATAACCACGCACGGAGGTAGCGGAGTTGCTCACGGAGCGGTTGTGAACGAAGGACGGGGAGGGAGATAACCGGGGTACACCATTACTTTTGGAAGAGCTGGACGTCGGAAGCGAACGAGCAGCGTCATCGGATGGTCGATGAGGGAGTGTGAGACTCATTTTCCTTTCAGGAGGCAAGAAAATGGGAGGAATGTTTCGGATTCGATCGCGGGCGAATTAACGGGATGTTTGGGGGACAATGGAGACGAGCAACAAAGGAATAACCGCATGCTCCTTGGAATTAATTGATCAACGACTAGATCGATTCCTCCCAAGAGACCCTCTGCGACTCGGAAGTTCAAGCTGTCATGGTCAAGTAAGGCTACTTTCGCCACGCTGAAAAGATCCCGTCGGAGGATTAGTTGACTGATCGACCATGTAATTCGTCCGATTCAGGGGTGGGAAAGGGGGAGTTTGGATGAAAAGAAGCCTTAGATTTGGAGATCCACAGCGGGGAAATTCCACGGAAACACCACAATCGCCATGATCGGTAGACTCAATTGCGGGCAGAAGGGACGGTCATGACGGTTGCATGTCAATTGCAGCCGAAACTGTCAAAACTGACTCGTACTCAACTCATGAATTTTCCAGGAATGCCTCCATGCTGCTTCTACTCCGGATTAAGCTCCGCGCACGTGCCCATTGCTTTGCCGGGCCGACGTGATGCCGAAGTATTTGTTTGCTTTCGGCTTGTTTTGGGGTGCTTTGCTCTTCTTGGAAAGGTATTTAGCATTCTAGTTATCGTCGATATCAAATTACGCCGCCACCAACCGTTAAAGTACTCCCCCGCGCCTGTACTTTTCTCAGCACTACTGGCTGTTGCATTCCATACATAGTACATATCTTTTGCAAACAACGCTAATCATCCACCCCGGGGTACCTGCATCATGGTACGCATAATGTGTTTTCTCCCCCACAATTCCCCCATTGCCAAGCTCACCAATGTTGCGCCTAGGTCACCTCAAATACGCCCTTTAAACCGTCGCCGTTATCCTTCAGCTCTCCTCGTGCTTCTCCTTTTCGTCGTCCCTCTACGCCGAACTCTCCGCCCACAGGGATCACACCAGGGAGTTCACCAAGCCGAGGATACACCCCGGTAGTGTCTCCAAGCAAACTGAATCAGTCATATACCATTGAGCACGAAGATGCTTCGCCAACTAGTCGAGAACGAATCCCCCAACCCCGATTTTCAAGAGAGTCCCCATCTGCATCGCCAACCAGGGGGGCCAATTCACCGGATCGGTCACCGAGGATGGGTGTCCGGTCGATGGGCATGACGGCGGGATCGTCAGATGCAGCTTCTAAACTAGCGCCGGCGCAACTCCGAGAAATCAGAGAGGCTTTTCAGGTTCTCGACCGGGATAATGATGGATCGGTGAACAAGGACGATGTCGCAGATGTGCTTGTGAATGTTGGTAGGTTGTGGAGGAGCCCTTCTCCAGAAATGGATAACCATATAGGGAGACACAAAGCTTACGGTGGTGAATAGGTCAAGATCCGTCTATGTTATCCGACTTCTTCCCCCCGGGGAGCCCTGAAACTATCAACTTCCCTACATTCTTGAACATCTTGTCCGGTCTACTCGCGCCGTTGTCGTCGCGCCAAGAACTAGTGAATGCGTTGGCCGCTTTTGATGAGGACGATAGCGGCCAGATCAACGTGGGGGAACTTCGCGACGCTCTTTTACACACGACTCCGGACGAGGGAGAGCTTCCGCTCACCGAACGAGAGATCAACGAAGTTCTGAATGGGTTTACCGGGCGCAGGGCTTTTGGAGCCAAGAGCAGTAAGGGTCCTGGAGGAGGAAAGCGAGGGGAGGTATTTAGATACCCGGAATTTGTGGATGGGGTCCTGGGAGGGACCCAGAATGGACAAGCAAATGGACGGCAGGAAGCTTGACGCTTGGATTTACCGTTCAATGACCGGGTTCTGGCGTTCTCGGACTTGATGACTATTGTTTACATACAGCTCTGGAAGCTTTATTCCTCATGTATCCATCTATTTCTAGTGCTTTTTTAGGTGGGACGACCCTGGATATGATGCGACGGTGCTACATGAGACGTCTCAGAGTGGCAAATTAATATGATCCTGTTTGATGACGAGAGAGTGGGATATGGAATTATTTTAGGTCCCTGGTTTCTTTTCTATTTATTTTATTTTACTATTATTATGTATTTTTTTTCTTTTTTTGTTTCCATGGGTTGGACGAGTCAGGTCGCGGTGGTGTGTATATAGTTGCGGGACTATTTACTAGTAGTGAAGGTCCACATCAAACACCATAGCAACTGAACCAAACTCCGGCAAAAAGTCACTTAATAAAATAATTCTATTCAGTTTAAATTATTGCTTGCAGCGCGTCGCGTGTCCCCGCATTCCACCTTGCCCCCGTCAAAAAGGAAAAAGAAAAGAAAAAAAAAAAGATCTAAATTACTATTCTAGTAAAATCTCATAGGGGGTTTTATTCATGGACCCTCCCCCTGGTCCGTTTTGACTTGGTTCCTCAGTCTTCGTCAAACCCCAAGGACCAAAGCAATAAAGATGCTTACATAGTACCTGCGACAAGCTATGAATTTCGCCGACCCGACAAAACGACAAGACCAACCGCAACCCAACATGGCCTCCCAACCCACTCAGGCCCAACTCAACCTTGCCGCTTTGGCCAGTTCGCCATCGCCGCGAACGATGCGAAGTCTGCGCAAGATTCAATCCCATCAACTTCTCTCGTCCTCTCAGCTCTCCCAACCCTCAAGCGCCCGGTCGTCCGCTGGGCCAGAGGAGCTTTCTCAGCCAGCTCAACTAGAGTCGCCGCTGCGCCTGCGCACGCATCGTCGAGCCCGATCGAATAGCGACGCCTCAACCCGCGAGCCTCCTGCTATTGGGACCCAGCGACGACCGGGAAGGAAAACGGGCTCAGGTTTTGGCATCAAGAGATCGGTCCTGGAGACGTTGTTACGAGATGGACCACAGCAGGGAAATGTCCGCGAGGGACTACAAGAGCTGAGATACTTGATTTTGTCCACGAGAGTAGAAGCGGATGCGGACGGCATGGTATGTTTTCTCTCGCCCTGAGCTATAGAACAGCTCCTAACCCTAAATCCAGTCATCATATCGAGTGTACCTATGGCTATCACTTTTGGATATCCCCCCTGTTCCGACAGACGAATATCTCTCTCTCATCCACCGCGGCCGCTCGCCAGCGTATACTAAAATCCGCAATGACACCTTCCGCACGCTAGCCACCGACCCCTTATTCAAACGCCGTGTTACAGAAGCAAGCTTAATCCGACTCCTCAACGCAGTAGCATGGAAGATTCACGACGCAAAGAACAAGAACAAGGCCAGAAAATCTCGTTCGTCCATGACCCGTCGACGAGAGATGGAGCTTCTCATCAACACACCCCCTAGCATCGCAGAGGAGGAATCGAGCCCCGAATTGACCACACCGAGCACCAGCCGCAGCAGCACCATCACTAGCGACTCGGCGATCTACGTACAGGGCATGAACGTCCTCTGTGCCCCGTTCCTCTACGCCGCGCGCAGTGAAGTGGAGGCCTTCGCCTTGTTCCATTCGTTCGTCACCCGCGAATGTCCGGGCTATATCCGCGGCGCCATGGACGGGGTCCATCGCGGTCTCCGTCTAGTGGACCGGTGCCTTGAGATCGTTGAGCCCAAGCTCGCCTCATACCTCTTCTCAAAGGGTATGCAGGCCGAACTCTACGCGTTCCCTTCCGTGTTAACCATGTGCGCCTGTACACCACCTTTGCCTGAGGTCCTCCATCTCTGGGACTTCCTATTCGCGTACGGGCCACACCTAAACATCCTATGCATTGTTGCCCAACTCATCCGAATGAGAGATACCATTCTCGAGAGCCCAAGGTACGTCACGTCCCAGCCTAGCAACCCAAAGAACAGAAAAAGACAGAGAGAGAAGAAAAAGCAAAACAATAAAACAATAAAAGGGAAAAAAAAACCAAAACAAGAAACCTCCCCCAAAATCCAGACCCATCACACATTGCCACCCAAATCCACCCCCATCTGACATATCATTCCAGTCCAAACAAGATTCTCCGATCGTTCCCACCCCTCGACGCCAAAGAAATCATCGCCTTAACCGTCCTGATCGTCCGGAAGATCCCCGAACCACTCTACGCCGAACTGATCGACCATGCCAAGTAGATTGATTTCTTCTACATGAGCGTGGCGTCAGCGAAGACCTTTCTTACGTGTATTATTTATGAATTTCCTATTCGGTATTTTGCGCTCTTGGTCCAGAGGAGAAAGAAACATTAATAGCCTGTTTCCAGGGCCACGGTAATGGCGTTATTTTTTCCCTGTTTTTTCCTTTCTTTTTTTTCTGATCTATTCTTCTTTTTCTTTACTATTTTTCTCTTTTTTTCCCCCCATTTCTTTTTCTCATCTTTCTAATTTTCATGCCTTATGAAGGTGGCCTTGTATTATGACAGTATGATAGTATGATAAAGAGAGAATTTGTATTAGCTGTTAGATGAGTTATGAATGACGATGGCATTTATTATCATATCCTGCGAGTTCCCCACTCAATATACAAACATATATCTAATATAAGCACCAGGCAGCAAGGGAGGGACTGACTCGGACTAAATATAGATTACTGAACTAGAATATATCAAAGCATTACATACTGACCACATGGACAAAAACAACAATAATAACCAATTAAGTGAATATAAATATAGTCCTCTATCTCTAACCATCCTCAAACCATCCCCCCAACAACGCCCTCAACATAAGCAAAACGGACGAAAAAAAAAAAAAAGTTTCAAAATAGTTAGTACTCACTATGCAAAACCAAACCCTACTAATATCCCAGCCCAACTTTTCACGTGTAAAACTAGTACCCTAGTAAAAATGGAATGATATATAAAACCTCCATAACCCTGACCCTGAACCCTACACCGATCCGCCAGCCCCCCGTCCCGTCCGTTTGATGGCTAGCACGATTACCAACGCGATATATAGCAAGCAGGCCCAACCCACACAGTAAAAAAAAGATCAAGAAGGGAAAGTAAAAGCGACGATCTGCAACGAGATAGGATCAACATCAAGTAGTGATCTCCTTGCGACCAATCCCGGATCCATTCACGACTAGTGGCCCCGGCCGAGATTTCGTCTGAGGGGGTTCTTCGGGGGTGGGCTCTGGCTTGGGTGGTTCATCGGTTGTGGGGGTGTGCTCGGGGGTGTAGGTGGTGGTGGGAGGAGCAGAAGAGACGATGGTGACAGGGACCGTGGATGGGGGAGTCAGGGCGTAGGATGCGGCGAAGGGCACGGCGCGGTCGATCTTGACTCTAATCTTGGCGTTGAGGAAGACGGAGTTGTTGTAGCGGGCGACGGCGCGTTTGGCTTCGTCGGCGGTGCGGAAGGTGATGCGGGCGAGCCTTGCAGCGCGCTGTGGCGGGTCGAG